GATCGATTGAACATCCAGGGGGACGCCCTCGCTGACCACTTTGCTGGACTTGCCTCGAGATCCCAGGGGATTGCCCAAGCAACGATTGAGGTCTACCAGCAAGGTTTAACAGAGTACAGCACGTTGGCTGCCTGGGATGGAGTCACTTACAGATGCCTGGGATGCCTTCGAATGTGCCCCCCAGCGAGCACATCTGCGTGTGATGCACTGGCCCCTTCCCTACACACCCGCCTGCCGACAGGAGGGTCAGGCCACAAGCTATGTGGTGCAAGGCTGGAAGGTAATGACTTGCCAAATACATATTATAACGAATGTGGGTGTTCTGCGACCCGCAAGGCGACGGGCCTGCTGGCCCCTCGTTCCCGCCGCACAGGTCCAGCGAGAGATCTAAACTCCGCAGAGGCCACATTCCATGGTCAATCCACAGGTTCGAGAACCCGTTCCCGTTGTCCCCTCTCCTCTCCCCGACCTCTGTTTCCCAACCCTCCTGCGTTGGGTTCTCGTTTAGAATAGAGCAGCTGCGGTTGCGACTCCTCTCCTCTCCTCTCCCGTCCCCTCCTCCTTTCCTCTTCCCCCCTCCTCCTTTCCTCTCCTGTCCCCTTCCTGGGGGGCTGCGATCTGCGAAACTGTCGCCACTTTCGAGGGCTGCTGGGGTGGGGGGGCCAGCGGAGTGGGGTCATACGCAGATTCGGATTCGACCTCGCCATCCCTGGGGGGCTGCGATCTGCGGAACTGACACCACTTTCGAAGGCTGCTGGGGGGCCCAGCGGAGTGGGGTCATACGCATATTCATATTCGACCTCGCCATCCCTGAGGGGCTGCGATCTGCAAAGCTGTTCACCACTTTCGAGGGCTGCTGGGGTGGGGGGCCCAGCGGAGTGGGGTCATACGCAAAGTCGGATTAGACCTCGCCATCCCTGGGCGGCTGCGATCTGCGAAACTGTCGCCACTTTCGACCGCTGCTGGGGGGCCCAGCGGAGTGGGGTCATACGCAGATTCAGATTCGACCTCGCCATCAATGGGGTGCTGCGATCTGCGAAACCGTCGCCACTTTCGAGGGCTGCTGGGGGGGCCAACGGAGTGACGTCATACGCAGATCCAGATTCGACCTCGCCATCCCTGGGGGGCTGCGACCTGCGAAACTGTCACCGAATTCGAGGGCTGCTGGGGGGGCCAGCGGAGTGGGGTCATACGCAGATTCAGATTCGACCTCGCCATCCCTGGGGGGCTGCGATCTGCAATACTGTCACCACGGTCGAGGGCTGCTGGGGTGGGGGGCCCAGCGGAGTGGAGTCATACGCAGATCCAGATTCGACCTCGCCATCCCTGGAGGGCTGCGATCTGCGAAACCGTCACCACTTTCGAAGGCTGCTGGGGGGGGCCCAGCGGAGTGGGGTCATACGCAAATTCAGATTCGACATCGCCATCCCTGGGGGGCTGCGATCTGCGAAGCTGTTGCCACCTTCGAGGGCTGCTGGGGGGGGCCCAGCTGAGTGACGTCATACGCAGATCCAGATTCGACCTCGCAATCCCTGGGGGGCTGCGATCTGCGAAACTGTCGCCACTTTCGAGGGCTGCTGGGGGGCCCAGCGGAGTGGGGCCATACGCAGATTCAGATTCGACCTCGCCATCCCTGGGGGGCTGCGATCTGCGAAACGCTCACCACTTTCGAAGGCTGCTGGGGGGGGCCCAGCGTAGTGGGGTCATACGCAGATCCAGATTCGAACTCGCCATCCCTGGGGGGCTGCGATCTGCGAAACTGTCGCCACTTTCGAGGGCTGCTGGGGGGCCCAGCGGAGTGGAGTCATACGCAGATTCAGGCGACCCCCCATTCCATCCTTCTCCTGCCTCTCGTTCCTGTCCCCGTTATTCTTCGAGCCTGGGGCCTCAATCCTCGTTCTTTCGATCGTCGTCCTGTGAGTCGTGCAACGCATGCGCATCCCATGTAGTTTGCGCAGCAATTCACAGCGTCTACACTGCAGTTCCTGCTAAGATTGGCCTACTCCTCTTGCCACTTGATGCACATGGGCTGGGTACGTCGCAGGGTAATTCTCCCAACCCGTTCGCGGGCTCGACCTGATGATAGCCCTGGGCGCAGGCGCGCCCCGCTGCCTTGAGGGGGGGTGGGAGAAGAACCCGAGGGAGGCCTCCCTTTCTCCATCTGCGCCGGTGCAGTTTCTTTTTCATCATTCCAGGCTGGTGTGCACAGTATGTCAGACCTGTAGCAAGTCTTGAGCGTCTTGAGAGCAGGAGGACGAGGAGGAGGAGGAGGAGGAGGAGGAGGAGAAGGAGGAGGAGGAGGAGGGGGAGGAGAAGGCGGAGGAGGTGGAAGGTGGGGATCTTTTGAAAGGCGAACGCGGGAACTTCCGTCTTGTGTTCCGCAAGCGCGTGTGGAGTGGCCGTATCAAGGCAAGTGCGGCAGAAATCGAGAGCAACCCACCGTGTTTGTCAGGCAAGCGGCAGCTCCTCCGTCAGAGACTGGCCTCGCGCTGAAAATGCT